CTGAACTTCCCAGGGCTCAGACTACAACCCTTTCTCTTCATCAGGCATCAGGATCTGGTCCTGGGGCAGTTGCAAGCTGAGTACCAGCAGCTAATGCAGAGGATGGGCTCCCCACTAATCCTGTTCTCTCTTCACTCCATTTCTAGAGCTTGGCATAAGGCACAGCAATTATAGCTACAAATATTTAACCACTCACAGAGATGTTACTATAAACCAGCCATAAAAAACAGTTCATAGCAGAAACGGTGAGACAGCTCCAAGTGTAACTCTGCCAGGGCACCGGCTGTAATAAAGGAGCAATCTCAGCAGACTTTGAACTTTTCCAGTGGTGGAAAAACAGAGAATGTTAAGAAATAAATTAAAACAAAGAGCTTCAGAGGATGAAAGTGATACAGGCAGCGGGACCAGAGACCCTACCCAGATGGAAATCCCAGGGTACCAGGTCCAGCAGCCCCTGAGTAATGGGATGCTGGGTGGCACGGCAGCTACGTACAGCATGAGGTGGCTGAAGGACGTGGGCTGAAACACACAGAGGCTCCCCTAGGCCTGGGAAACAGAGCAGAATCTCTCAGGCCAAGCTCATCCCACGCTGGACCATCTTGGAGAGGTTCCTCTGTGGGATCAGCTCCCTGTCGCCCAGAGACAGGGGACCAAAACCCCACAGAAATGTATCAGTAGGCCAAGGGGGTTGGGGATAAGACCAGGGCAGGCAGTCACCGCTCTCTGCAAGTACCACCCTGCTGCTTGAGCAGTTTGCCCCTGGGGACATTTTAGGACACTCATCAGACCACCTCACCTGGGTCCCTCCCGCATGTTCCTGAGCCGGCACCTTTGGGCTGTCCTTCAGGGATCCCACACAAGGGGTGGGGTGCAAGGTCACCCCATGAGGGAAAGCTGTGGAGAAACCCCTCCCAGGGCAGTGGCACCTCTGCCCACTGTTGTAGTTCAGACGGCTTCCTCCCCTCCCCACCCTCACACCATTAACCTTTCAGCCTTGAAATAAAAGGTTATAAAAAACAACCAAAGTTCATTACATCCCTTAATGTGTCATTTGCATGGGAATGAGCTGGGAGCAATGAGGCAGCTATCTCATGCCGGGCGAGATTGAGGAGGGAGAAAGGGAAGAGACAGGCATCAGGATCTGGCAAGGGAGGTGGAACTCAGCCCCACAGTGAGATGGGGCAGGCACAGTGGAGAGCAGAGCTGGATATAATTATGACAGATGTCCTGGGAAAGCCCACAGCAACACAACCTCTAGCTCAGAGGCAGACAGGCTGATCTCCACCTACAAAAGGAAAAGTGATGGTGGTTTCACCCCAACACACAGCCCATGGTGCCCAGAGATCACTGCAGCTTGGACATGCCCAACCCCAGCAGGTCTAGGGTCCAGGACACAGTTGAAACCAAAATGACCAACAGCTCAGGGTAAATGAAACAAAAGCCTGAGTCAGAAGCCGTCAAAGGCAACTGGATGGTGGAAGTTCAGACACCGGCCACAAAGCTGGGTGGGCAGCTCTGCCCACACAGGGAGACACTGCCTGCACGCAAAACAGCCCCTTGCCTATTTCATTTGACTGGGCTGAACTCTGTGGACATGACGTGTTGAGAGCGACACAACCCCGGAGGCATAATTTCAGGTTTTGGCATCTGACTTTCACTTTTATGGAGAATTGGAAGCAATCAGACATTTTAGCTGTGCAAAGCTTCACTAACTGAAATCCCACCAAAGCCCCAGTCCCCCAGCATCAAATCCATCAAAATATTCTAATGTCTGTACTAGAGGTTCAGCCACGAGGACATCAGACAGCCAGAGGGATGAGGCAAGCATAACCAAAGGCTACAGGATTACCTCCTGCCCCAGGCACTGTCCCCTACATCTCCCACAAGGTCTGCTTTGTAAAACCCTCCAAGGCCAACAGGGCCAGCTGAGACCACAGGACACACAGCAGGACACTCTGCCCAGATCATGCTCTCCTGGCCTGCAAAGGCCACCACGAGGCATCCAAAAGGTTCATCTCTGGGCCATCACTGGGTGCCTTACAACCCAGCAGAGATGCTACTTGCCCTGGTCCACCACTCAGCTTTCTGAGCACCTCCAGCCGCTACCTTGGCAGCAGGGGCAGAGTGGGGCCATGAGACCTGCAGCTCCAGCACTGGGCTCTGGTCACTTATTTTCTCACCAAACAAGAAGCCGAGCAGGGAAGCAGGGTGATTCCAGGCACTCAACCAGTGGGAAGACCAGGAGCCAGAGCTCCCACACAATTACACGTGCTCCTAGGCAAAATGAAGCACACACCGAAGCAACCACAGGGTCTGCACCTCATGTCCCCCCCACTTTTGGAGCTACCTGGCATTTGCAGTAAAGAAGGAGCTCAGCTGGAATCGACAGCGAGTGGACCTCGGTGTCCTCAGGGGGGTTCACGTGGTGGGAGAATGATTTTCCATCATCCTCCTGCACAGAGGGTCTCGGCAGCGCTGGCGTAAGGGCAAGCGAGCAGCTGACGCTCAGGGACTGGAAACAAAGCCCCACTCAGACAGACACTCCTGCCTAGATCAAGAAATATCGCCTCCTGCATGATCTTTTCTAATCCCATCTGCAACCTAGTTATTAAAAACCTTGTGAACTCAGTAGCTGTAAATGCTGCACCAGCCAGGCGTCCCCAGCAGCAGTGCCAGGCTGCATTTCCAGGGAGTAAATCACACCAAGAAACCCTAAGCTCTCTTCTTTAAGAAACACATGAATGCTCTTACTGTGGCACGAAACGGGGCGGGGGGGGGAAGGAAGGGGAGGAAACAACAACGCGAAATTATCAAGGACTCATGCCACTGCACAATGAACCGAGCCATTGTTCCCTACCTGGGGTAACAATGCCTTTCAGAAAACACAAGTGCTTTTAACAAGGTGTTCTTTAAAATATATCAAGACCAAAGCTGCCAGAGGATTGGTGAACAGCTGGAAAAAAAATAAAATAAAACAGCTAACAGATTACCCAGAGGATTTTCACACTTGATCTGTAAACACTCTTTTATTTAATAAAAATAATCATCCATTATGGCAACTTCTGCTTGTGGCTGTTTGGTTGTTTGTTGTGGGTTTTTGTTTTGTTTTTTTTTTTACATTAAAGCACAGTTTATTTGCTTTCCTCACCTCTTGAGGATTCAATTCTGAAAATGCAAGTGAATGTAAACATTGCTCTCCAGGTCCCGAGATGCATCTGGGCACCCTTGGAGTTAATTACAAAGTCAAAAGAGAGAGTAAAATCAACAAAACACGTCCCAAAAGTAAAAAGGTATTTTTTTTAAGTCTCTTCCTGGGCACCATACAACTCCAGAGAAGGCGAATTCATCTTATACACAAAACTTACGCAAACTTTGCTTTCTCCAAATAATTTCTATGACTTGTATTTTATAAAGCTGCTTTCATAACAGTAAAAGGCTCGCAGACTCAATTAGTTGTGACGAATTGAAAGTTTTTCCTTTTAACGTTCTCCAGAAATTTCTTCATGGCACAAGGACGTTAGATTTGTTCTGTCCATTTTTGCATTATTTTTTTTTTTTTAGCAGAAAGAGCTGAAAGACATTTCAGGAAAGGAGTGTAAAAGCAGTATTAACTCTCTCTCCTGCTCCAATCTCACAATATTTACACATTTATTTATTTATTTATACCCCCCCCCCCCCAAAAAAAATCTTAATTACACTATAAAATACTGGGGAAACTGTCAGTTAAGTTTCCCATTTCAAACTTTTGCCCTGTATAAGGCAGAAAGAGGGATGCTTTCATATTTCCTAGGAAAGATGAGACTGGCAAATTAAAAACTGAACTCCTGTCCCTTAATTCAGAAAGATGGAACAGCCCGTGAGCACAAACCCCTTCCTCCTCTGCAGGAAATCCTGCAGGAGCTAAACTATCGCAAATCGATGCAAATGAGATAACATGATATACAGAGCCCTGCTTTGGCTTTGAAATGATGTCTATTTACAGTTGGAGGTGGGGGAAGCGAATTAGCATCAAAGCCATTTCGGTGCTGCCGGGTGGTATAATATCAACCGAGATCAACCCTCGGGGAGCTTGGCTGGGTCTCAAAACTCCCATTGCAAGGGAAACAGCCCGTCACCCCATCACCCGGGACATCCCTGCCCGCACAGCAGAGCCACCGCTCCGTTAGGGTCTGCCTTAGTGAATAACGAGAGGGCGGTGAGCATCGCACCTGTATTATCTCACAGGCAACACAGGAATTAAACAGAATCAGATACGATGTGCAAAATTTCAACAACAAAAAATAGCCAGTCTGGTGAGGTCTGTGATCCTAGCCTTTACAGACAAAAAAAAAAAAAAAAAAAAAAATCAAGGTAACAGGAGATCAGAAATTCTGTTGATATTATCATACTATCAGGTAGGGGGAATGGCTCTAGTTGTTCAGCAGTTTTGGGGGGGGCAGGGAGGAGAAGGACTTTTAAGGTGTCAAAGATAATTAAAGCATTCACAGTTTCAAAGCTGCTTGCCTTACAAAAATTAAGACATTCAAATTCAAGGATACAATACTGTATTTTACAAGGGGGTTAAAACTAATTACATACACAACGGGGGAAAAAAAATACAACAAAATATAAAAAAGCCAACACCTTAAGGGGGGCATACTCCCTCTTTGTTGTTCATCTCACGGATCTGCACACTGCTTGTCTTTAAAGAGTCAAACTGAGCAGTCCCAAAAATATCCACTGAGAGATTCTGACAACAGGGGGGAAAAAAAAAAACAACCTAACAAAATAAACCAAGCAAGTCAAAGGCCATCCACCCCGGGAAGCCGAATGCCACAGCTTTGACTTCCACTTGCCTGCTGCTCCTCACTCCCGCTGCCCGGCGTTCCCACAGGCTCATCTCAGGTTTCTAAAGGCTTCCTGCTTGCGAGCTGAAGGAAACCATCCCATGCAAGCACAGCCAGCCGTGCCTCACTCTCCCGCAAAGTCTTGTATTAGTCCTGCCCACAGCAAAGGGTCCTTCAAACAATCCTTTTCCTCTCTATCCTGCAGAGGATCCTTTTGAAGGCCCGTCTGAAGTCGTGGTTGAAAATGGTATAGATGACGGGGTTCAAGGAGCTATTGCAGTAACCGAACCAGAAGAAGAACTTGAAGAGAGTTTCAGGCACGGAGCAGCTCTTGCAGACAGCCGTCAGTGTGTAGGTGAAGAAGAAGGGGAACCAGCAGATGACAAAGACCCCAATCACCACTGCCAGCACAAAGGTGAACCGCTTCTCCCTGTTCTGCCTGCCTCTCCACCGGGACCCTTTGGTGTTCCTCTCCTCCTCTGCCTTCCTGGGCAAACTGTCCCCAGGCTTAATCTGGCTCAGCTTAGTCTTGGTCTTTCCTCTCGATGGTCTCTCCGACTTCTTACACTGGTTGTTCTCCTGGTGCTCAGAGGAAGAGGTCTCCTCCATGTCTATGCCGTTGACCTCTCCCTCCTGCCTGCTGCCACCTCCTGCCGCCTTCTCCCCATTGAGCTGAGCCGTGGCTGGCAGGTCCTCAAAGCCGTTCTGCTTCTTCTCGGGGCGCTCTGCCCGCTTGTTCAGTGGTACCCTGGTTCGTCTCTTGGCTATCTGGTAGATGCGCATATAGACCAGGATCATGATGAGGCAGGGGGCAAAGAAGGAGCCAATGCTAGAAGAGATGATGTACCACTTCTCATCATTGATCTTGCACCCTGCCACCCCCTGGTCAGCCTGCTGCCCGCTCTTCTTCTCAATGGAGATGAGTGGCGGGAAGGAGATGACGGCCGAGATGACCCAGACGATGAAGATGATGCACTTGATGCGGCGCGGGGTGCGCTTAAGGTTGTACTCGATGGCTTGCGTGATGGACCAGTAACGGTCCAGGCTGATGGCACACAAGTGCACGATGGAGGAGGTGCAGAACAGCACATCCAAGGCCAGGTAGATCTCACACCACACTTTGCCAAAGTACCAGTATCCCATCATCTCGTTTGCCAGGGAGAAGGGGATGACCAGGGTGGCTACTAGGATGTCGGCCGAGGCTAAGGAGACCAAAAAGAGGTTCTGGGGGGCCTTGAGCGCCCGGCTGGTGAAGACGGCGATGATGACGAGGACGTTTCCGAACACGGTGAAGAGCATGAGCAAGCCCGCCAGGCTGATGAGGGTGATGGTG